AGGGATGCTTCTGGTTTTTGTGAACCGGCTCAGCCCTCTTTGCCTGTGACAAAGACCATGTGCGGTGGAGGAATGAGAATAAACATGTCTGTCACCTCAGAGAGGCACAGGATGGGGTTCAAAATGTTAGATCGCAGACCCGCTAGCTGCCCCTCTCCCTCTCCTAGAAATTGGGCTATGCGCACATGAAGTGCTCAGCACCCCCTCCCCCATCCAGGGTCTGGCTTCTTGTCAAGCAGGTTTAGTTGGACTGAGTCACATGGTGTGGAATTTTCCACCAACCCCCGAAAACTTATAAAAGTAGAAACCCCTTTTATTTGAGGGATGTCTCTGAATTTCCCTTCTCCTCCCAGGTCAGGCTGTCCACAATGGCCATCTTTTTGTCCCTTCCCCTTTAAGCCGTCACTAATGCTCTCTCACTGCAATGTTCCTATTGTTTTGTATGTTTTGAGCAGGCACTCGTGTAGCCCAGGCTAGCCTCACACATCTTCGTAGTGGTGACTGAGCTTCTTCCCCTCCTTCCTCCATCTCCGCCGCCTTGCCAGGCTATCTTCACTTTAATGTATATTATTTTTATTTATGTGTGTGTTTGTGCCCACATGCGTATGTAGAGCTGTGGAGGCCAGAAGAGGACATCAGATTCCCTGGAGCTGCCTGACCTGGGTGCTGGGAACTGAACTAGGATTCTCTGGAAGAGCAGCAGGTGATTTTTACAAAGGAGCCGTCTCTCCAGTCCCCAGGCTATTACAGGACATTTGTATTCACCCTCATTCTCTTCCTCTTCCCATCTCCAGCCCACACCCCATGCCCATGCCCGGGGAACACGTTTGCATTTGCTCGCTTGTGCAAGCATATTCACATACATGGAAGCCCAAGGGCCACTTTCAGGAGCTGGTTCTCTTCTTCAGCTGTGTAGGTCCTGGGAACTGAATCCCGGTTGTCAGGCTTGGACTAAGTGCTGGCTAGTCCTGTATCCCTTCTCAGATATGTTTTTGTTTTGCTTTCTGGCTTTTGGGGGCTGGTGTTTGGAGATGGAAAGGTGTTTCAGAAACATTAGTTCTCAGTCTTTGGTGGCCGTGGGGGACACAAACCCATTGTACAGGCTGTTTCTGGTAGTTGTTTCATTTTTGGAAGCAGTCTTACTCTGTCAACCTGGTTAGCCTGTAACTTGCCGTGTAGACCAGGCTGACCTCAATTCGCAGAGGTCCTCCTGTCACTTGAGTGCCGGGCCTGAGCACACAGGGTCAGGCTGGGCAACAGGTGCCCACTGAGCTATCCATCAGCCCTGTTTTTGTTATTCTTAGACCAACAATTTATGTTTGCTCTTAAGATATCACAAAATACAAAAATACAAAAAAAAAAAATCATACAGACACAACTATTTATAGTCTCCTTTATCCGTGAGAAAATTTGAGAACTTATTTCTCAGATGTGCGTATATGTAATTTTTATTTTAAAACAAAAAAGGGGAAACAGGATGGTCTGCCTTCTGTCAGGCACCGGTTCCTCTCTCCTGCCTGCGCCTGCCATTTTTACAGTTGCAGAGGAGATGAATTCCTTTCTCAGCCATGTGAATCTCCAGGTGCTGGTATGCTGTGTGCTGGCCTCTCCTGCTGTGCCATGTTGGATCAAGGGGCCTACTCCATTAAGAGATCAGTCACTCTAAATGGCCAGATCCCTCAGTCTGAAGAAACCAGTTCATGTTTCTCAACTCCACAGGCCAGAACAGGGAGTTAAGACATGCTGTATAGCTTTGTGGCCTCTAGCTATGGCCCAACAACAACACCTGGTTTCTCCTCACTTCTCCTCACACGGCCTGTGCCATGCTGAAATAAGTCATGTGTTGTCGAACTTCCTTACCGCCCCTTGAAAAGATGTAAAGGTCGGATTTTCTTTGTTTAGGGGATTTTTTTTTTTTGTCTTAGTCACTGTTCTATTGCTGTGAAGAGACACCATGACCAAGGTGGTTCTTGTGAAAGAAAGCACTTAATTGGGGCTTGCTTACAGTTTCAGAGGTTTGGTGAATTATTTATCATCATGGGCTTTTGGAACCTCAAAGCCCACCCCCAGTGACACAGTTCCTTCAACAAGGCCATACCTCCTAATCCTTGTAGTTCTTTCAAATAGTGCCACTTCCTAAGTGACTAAGGCTTTCCTAGAAGCTTCCTTTCCCCCATCATCCTCTTCATCAAAAGCTCTCTCTCCATGACACTCCTCTCCTTACCCGGAGCGTCCTGTTTTGCTAAAGAAAAGCTGTCTCCCATTACAGTCATTATCAGTGATATGACGTACTGTCCCTTTCTATTGATCTCCTGCATCCAGGCCTGATTTCAAGTCCCTGTCTCTTAATAAAGCTCACTTCTGAAGGGAGTTTGTGCCTGCTCTTTCCCACACCAACCAACTGCCTTGTTCTCCTCTTGTCTAAACCCCAGTGGGGCCTGTACAGCACACCTGACTTAGTTTTTTTAAAGAATTGAGAGGCTGGGGACATGGCCTACGCAGTAAAGCACCTGTTCTTCTAGCATGAGGACCTTCGTGTAGACACCCAGCCCTACATAAAGCCAAATGCAGTGTTATGTAACCCCAGTGCTGGGGGAGGCCGAGACAGGCGGGTCCCTGCAACTCACTGGCCAGCGGCCTCAGCTGAATCAGTGAGCTCCGGGTTTAGTGAGAGACTCTGCCTCAAAAGGGCAGGTGTCTTCCTCCACTGTTCTCCGGCTTCTGTGTGTGCACACACACGTGCAGGTGCCCCTATACATGCACACCCATACATACAAACAAGTACACATGTGCGCACTCCAACACACGTTGAGATAAAGTTGGGTGTGGTAGCAGATGCCTGTGATCCCGGCTCTGGGGAAAATAAATCGGTAGGACTACTGTGAGCCTGAAGTCAGCCTGGCCTACGTGCCAACACCCTGTATGAAGAAAGAAAGAAAAAAAAGAAATAAGGAAGTTAGTCCACATGACATAAAATGTAATATTTTGAGCACAGCTGAGCTGCACACCAGCAGCACCCATAGTGTTCAGTGTTGTGCACTCATCACCACTATCTGCTCCCAGAACAACTTTATCATCACCGCTGTCAGTGGTTTCCTCTGTCCAGCCCCAAGCAACCCCTAATCTGCTTTGTCCATGGATTTACCCGTTCTGGGCATACTTTATCCAAATGAGACCATAGGATAGGTGGTCGTTGGTGTCTGCCTTCTTTGACCTTTCGTAGTGTCTCCAAATCTCCTTGATGTGGCGGAAGCAGCACTTCATTCCTTTGTTAGATCTCAGTAGTTCTCTCTGGTGTGATCGGGCCACGTTTTGTTTATCCAGTGATCTGTTGGGTTTTACTCCTTTTGGCTTTGAATAGTGCTGCCCTCAATAGTCTTGTGCAGTGGGAACACTTATTTTCAGTTTTGTGTGCTACCTAGAACCAAAACAGCAGCCCTACTACCTTCTCACATGCCAGCATGCACCGGGCGGCTGTTTTCTCCCCTTCCCTTCCAACATACATTCATTTATTTACTGTGTGCGTACACACATACACACATGCACAGATACATGTAGATAGGCCATAGGCCAATGTCACATGACTTCCTCAATTGCTCTCCATCTTTTTTTTTTTTTAATTAAAAATAAAATTTAAGGGAGAACTTGAACGTAGTTTGCGCCTCAACTATTACTCCTACACCACAAATTAATCAATTGAGGTAGCCAAGTTTGGGGAAATCCTAGGATCCGCACATGAGAAATACAATGGATGAGCCTCACCCTGTGAAAAGCAGCTCCGTGACCATGGTATAGTATTGCCTCTGCCAGGTACTCCACTACGCTTTTGGTATAGAGTCTCAGCTGAACCTGGTCAGTTCTGTAGGCTGGCTGCCAGTGAACCCCGGTGGTCCCCTGCTTCTCCCATGGCAGCCCTGAGATTACAGACCTCAGGAGGCCCAGCCAGTCAGTCCCTGGGTGTGGGCTTGGATTGCTCACACCTCACCCTGGCCTGCCGTGACACGTGAACAGCCCCTGTAGAGCTTCAGCTGCCAGAACCTCAGCAGCTTTGCCAGGTCTTTCCCACCACGACAGATAGAAACCCTCGGGAACTGTGACCCCAAACAAATCTTCCCTTCCTTCAGCTGTTTCTGTCGGACACTGTGCTCACAGTGAAGCAAAGGGAACACGTCAACCAGGTGTGGCAACACACATTAACCCCAGAACTAAGCAGACATAAGCGGACGGATCTCTGTGAGTCCCAGGCCAGCCAGGGCTACACAGTGAGGCTCTAATACTCACACACGTTCACACACACATATACAAGTTGTAAGAGTTTTCTCTGTTGGTGTGTGGGATGGGTTGAGACAGGGTCGCCTTGTGTATCCTAGACTGGGGTCAAGCTTCCTATGACTTCCAGATTAGCCTCAACCTTTTTGAGAAACTGTTTTAGCCTTCCAAAGTGTTGGGGTTGCAGGCCTGTGTCACTATATTAATTTATGAGGCACTGGGGACAAACCCGGGTTCTTAGCATGCTATGTCAGCCCTCTACCAGTTGAGCTGCAGCCCTGGCTGGATTTTGGTTTCATGAGACAGGTCTCCTATGAAGTCTAGAACTCACTGTTGCAGAGCAGGCTGCCTCTATCTCCTGTACAGTTCTTTATATAATTTGAATATTAGATCTTCATCAGCTACATGATGACATACAAATATTGTCTCCTATTTGGTGGTTTCTCTTTATGCCTTGGGGGGGGGGGTGTAGTTGGGGTTGTTAGAAACAAAGAGTAATCTCCCCACCCCGCCCTCTCCCAGGCCTCGCCGCTCGCCGAGTCCGCCTCCTGTCCGACCCCCTTGGCCCCGCCCCCGTGAGCCCCGCCTCTCCGGAGCCCTCTCAGGTCGCAGCTTCCTCCGCAGCCCGCCCGTCTCTAGGCTGCCTCTCCCCCCCCCCTCTCAGGCCCCGCCCCATCTGGTCCTTTTTCCAAGCCACGCCTCCGAAACATCCCCGCCCCCGGCTCGCCCTACCTCCCGGGAGCTCTCCCAGCCCGCGCGCGCGGCCAGCGCAGACCTCCCGGCTAGATAGGCGGCGCGGGCGGCGGTGAGTGCGCGCTGGTGGCTGCTGCCTGGGGCGCGCCAGACGCGGGGCACTGGGCACGGGGAGGCATCAGAGGCAGGGGACGCGCTCTGGCACCTGCCTAGAACCCCGGGGTACCGCGCTTTCCGTGGGCGGCGGATGGTGACGTCGCGGGACCCGGGGTGGCGCGCTCTGGGCGGGATTGAGGGCGAGGGGTTCCAGTCGTGCTTGGTTGTGTTTGGTTCGCAGGCCCGGACTACCCTCTCCCATCTATCTGAACCTCCCGGATGATGCCCTGGGGCGTGTAGGAAAGGCGCGGTTTTCTCTGGTAGTCTCTGATATCCAAGTTGCGATTTGGGGAGTTATCACTCGCGGACTCTGAAACCAAAAGTGAATAGAATAGACAAAAAGTAAGGTAACTTTCCAGATGCGCTTTAACTGTTCCGGGCCCACGCGTCCGCACTTTTGCTCTTATCCTTGTTGATTTCTCGCGGGTTCCCAGTCGGGTGCGGGCATATCGGAGCGCAGAGGACCTGTCGATCGCGGAGCTCGGAGAATAGGCGAAGGTGGACGTGGCCCCTGCCTGCCCACCCAGCCCAGTTTTTGCTTCCTTTTTTTTAGGTCAGTGTGGGTCCAGACAGTACGCTTGATTGTCATTCAGTGTTGTGCCCACAGCTTCCGCTCAGGCTTAAGAGGAAAAGATGAGGGGGGCATGGGTGTTTTCCGAAAGGCAGAGCTCCCTTGACCAGGTCGTTTGGACATTCCCTAATACTTGGTCGGGTTTTGTGCTTCCGGATGGTGGAGCTGATGTCATTCTCTGCTGGATTGAGCTGTAGTCGTTGGGAAATAGTTTGTGGAAGTCACGGGGCTCTCTAAGCTCCCATCAGCTTTTTGTTTTGAGAGAGGGCCTTATGTAGTCTAGGCTGGCATTCCAACTCTAGGTAGCTGAGGCTGGTCTTGAACTCCTGGTCTTTCTGCCTCCACCGTGTTGAGATTACAGGGTTGTGCCACCGAGCCCGCTCCTCCAGCCTTTTCAAAATCAAGTCGTCCTCCCCCGGGTAGGGAGAACTGGAGCTGGTTCAGGGACTCTTGTACTCCATTCATACTGGAGTCCTTTGAAGGAAAATCATTTCCACCAGTAGGTGCTTGCCTGCCTTTCTGCCCTCCTTCTCAGATTGGCTCTTTTAAAACAGGCCTAAGTAGAGAGAAAGGCGCTGGGTGGTATCAGGAATTCCTCCACTGTTTGGCTTTATCGTTGGATCAGTATCCAGAGGGCGTGCCACTTCATCTACCTGGTCCAGAAGAGCACCCAGGTTGCACCTGACTGTCTTCGCCAGTCTTTGCTCTGCCTTCTGAAAGTGTGCTGGCAGCTAAGCACATTGTTGTGGATTGTCCTTTTTCCTGTTATCTAGAGGCATCAGTAATGAATGGTTTTATTCCTGCCTGAAAAATATCCTTGTGATGTTTTACAAAATGAAATGACCCAGTGATTGCTCTAAGATCTATCACTATCTTGAGTCTCTAAAATATTAGGTTGAAGTAGCTTCCTGTCTTTGAGAGATACATTTCCTTTGTCCTTCAATCACTTTTATGGCCTGGCCATGAGAAGGGAAAGGACTACCCCTTGTCCTGTAAAGAAGCTGAAAAAAATGGCTCATGGTCCTGAGTGGCTTATGCCTATGGGTGAAGAGCAGACATGCTGTTGAAAAGTTAAGAGCTTAGGCGGTTGGGAGATGTTCCTACACAGGGAAAGTTGTATGGAAAGGCTGAGGTCTGAGCAGAAGGACCTCAGCAAAGCTGCAGGAGAGGTGCAGACAAGTCTAGAATCAAAGACAGTAAAAGGAACCTACTGGGAGGAAGGAGCTGGCAGGCATTTCTACCCTAAGCTAATTTTCAGAAGATAAGCAGTTCCTGCTTTCCTGCCTTAATTTAATCCAGTCATCTCTGCTGATCTGGGCATGGCCTCCTGCCACTGTGAGAATGGGAAGGACCCCTCCCCCAACTTCAGATTCTCTTTCGAATTTCCCCAAAGCTCCCATGAGGGTGGAAAAGGAGCCTGTAAGAGGAAGCCCTGGAGTCTTGGCACTAGTCATTTGTATTCTGTTTGTTTTGGCTTTCTGCTGCCATGAAAATAGCCCAGGGAGCCAGGTGGCCTATATCCACAGGTAAATAGAGTCGGTTCTGTGCAGCCCATTGGCCACACAGGGTTGATTCTGAACTTGACTAGTGTTTACCTGCCGTGGAATTGGTGTTTGAGGTCAAGGGCTGCTTTCCGGGGGTCCTCATAATTTCATTTTATTGTTGAGCATTCATTGACAGTCTGGACAGTGATGACAGCATTGGACCCATTGAAGCTGTCATTTGGCTACAGATCCAAATGTAGATCTTTGGAGAGTTGTGTGTTATTAGGTTTGTAGACAAAGAAAGGTATGGCCCCTGTCTCAGCATCCTAAAAGTCACATCCAAAATGCCTTCAACAAAAGACAAGTTAACTATAGAAAGTATAACAGGTCCAAGAGTCTTCGAATATGAAGACCAAATACCCTGAGAAGGATGCTTCTTTCTCTAAGGGTGACTGATGGTGAGGCTGAAGCAAGGCTGCTGGTCTCTCCTGAAGATGGAACGGGACTCCAAGGTTTGAACACTCTGATGAGTCAAGGGAGGAACTCTTTCCTCTTTCTCTTTCTTTAAATCATGTGTAGGGGACTGGAGGTAACTTGCTGCACGTCTAGAGGACCTGAGGTTTTGCTTCCTGCTATCTATGTCAGGCAGGTCACAACTTCCTGAAACTATAATCTTACACCCTCTTCTGGCCTCTGTGGGCATGGCACTCATATGCACATACTCACATCTGGACTCATACACAATTAAAAAGAAAAGTTAAAAAACTTTTAAGCGCAGGTGGGCACATGTGTATGAAGACTAGAGGACCACTTTGGGGCTTTGGGTCATCTTCTGGAATACCGCTCACCTCCTTTGAAACAGGATCTCTCACGGGTCTGGAGCTGACTGGCCAGCTAGTGCGTACCAGAGATTATGATGTTTGTCTCCCCAGTGCTGGGATTACAAGCATATACCACTGTGCCTGGCTTTTTCTGTACTTAGAAAAAGATTGTAATCACGTCCTTAGGCCAGCACAGCACCATTTCAGCCAGGTGGCTCCTGCAAGTTTAGAGTGATAGGCCCAGGTGGTGAAGGCAGGGAGTGGTCAGAGGAGACAGTGCTGCCTAACCCCTTCTCCTCAGAGTCTCTTCAGTGTCACCCTCTACAGTCTCTTTGTCTATGTTCCAGTGGCTAATAATGGGCAACAACTCTCTACTCGTCCTGCTCCTTACAGAGCAATAACTCCCCAGGGTCCAAAGCCTGGCAGGTGTGTCCAGCCCTCTGATGTCATCACCGATATTATCTACAGCACTCACACTGGAGAACCCTGCAACAAAGTTACAAAGAATTGTGTTGTGTCTCGTTCTCCCTGGGGTGCATCTGGCCTTTAGGACAAGGCTGCATGAACCCGGAAGACTTCAGAAAAACAGTGATGGAGAATTTCAGCCATTTGGGCCATGGAGCCTCTTGAGCAACCTTCAAGTCTAGAGTTCATTGTGAGCTGGACATGTTGCCGCACACCTCTCACTCCAGCCCTCGGGAGTCTGGGCTTGAGCTGCTGTGTAGCGAGACCCTGTCTCAGGAAACCAAACCAGCAAAAATAGAAACGAAACCTAAAACAGCAACAGAAAGCTTAGCATTGACTTACCTAACCCTGATTCCAATAAAATTTATAGGCCATGTGCTGATATTTGAAATATATATCTGTATATTTCTTTCTTTCTTTCCTTTTTTTTTTTTTTTTTTTTTTTTTTGGTTTGAGACAAGGTTTCTTTGTATAGCCCTGGCTGTCCTGGAACTCACTCTGTAGATCAGGCTGGCCTTGAACTCAGAGATCCATCTGTCTCTGCTGGAATTAAAGGCATGTGCCACCACCGCCTGGCTTGAAAATTTTATATTAAGAACTAGCAGTAGGGCTGGCGAGATGATGCGGCAGGCAAAGACACTTGCTGCCAAGTCCTGTGATTTGAGTTCAGTCCTCAAAATCCACGTAATAGAAGGCTAGAGTTGACTTCCGTAAGCTGTTCTCACACTTGCACTGGGCCACACATGCACACGTACACATACACACAAACTAAATATATGTAATTTAAAAATGAAAAATACACGGAAAACCCAGCAGGATTTCAGAAAATATGGGAGATGAAATCAGACGCAATCTGAGGAAGGATGTGAGGCGGGTACCGGCGGTCTTTGTTGGGTGGCCCCGTCTTTTGTCATCAAGCGCATTGTTTCCTTGGTCACTATAATCAGGACACAGGATCTGATACCTGGTTCAGGCTTATTGATGTTCTTGGTGCTGTGTCATCAAGAGCTGTCATTCATGGGGAAGCCTGGAGTGTGGTTTCGCTGGGGATCCTCAGGGAAGTGGCCCACACTGATTGCAGGGCGCAGCTCCACTTTCTGTGGAGGCATTTTTCCATTCCAAAAATCAGTGTAATTTGTAGTTATGCTGTATTTGAACCTTGTGGTAACTTTATCTTTGCCTTGTGGGACACACGACCCTGCAGAAACCACTGAAATTCAGAAGATGGAATTTGAAAGCATTTCTGTGAAATAATTTGACCAAGAGCTTCTGGGTGTATGGATCAGGTTTGTCGGCGCGGCCAGATATCCACCCGGCAAACGCCATTTCTTCCTTTCTCAAAGAGGGCTTAGCCTGAGGGTCTGAGGTGGCCCCTTTGTCTCACGTTCTCCTCATTCTTGAACGTGTGTGAGAAGCCAGTGAACGCTGTCAGAGTCATCTTCAGGTTAGATTTCATTATAGCAGGGAAGTGGTGCAGCTTTTGTATTGTTCGGACTGCAGCTGGTGCTCTGCATGTAAGAATTGTTAAGCAATGTTTCATTTCATGGACATAAAGTTCTGGGTTTAGACAGTCCTGCTCCTAAGGGATATTTTGCTCCCTCTTCCAAGACCTCAA